CGATCCGCCTGGCTCTGCCTCCCGAGTGCTGGGATTAAAGGCGTGCGCCACCACCGCCCGGCTAAGCCCCAAGTTTTGAGATGATAGGTGTGTCCCATCATTCCTGGCACTCAAGGACTTTTGCAAACCATTTTTTGTTTGATCTCTTTAAATAGGGTCTTAGTATGTAGCTCAGGCTAGACCGGATCCTTCTGCCTCGGCCTCCTGGTATGCCCCATCAAGCCCAGTCAACAGTATTATGGTGGCTGGTGGAGAGAGGACATTTAACTGGGTGCGGGGGATCAATTCTAATGCCCTAAGGTACAGTACAGTAGTAACAGTATCTCATGTGTTGCCAAATAGCTACACAAAGGATTACATGCCCTTTACAATAACAGCAGCAATTTCTGATGATGGAAATGCCAAATAACATAATCTAGTTATGATACAATGTACTAAGATAACACTCTGTATCCCATAAACATGTAGAAGTATTCCTTACCAGTCAAAACCATATGAACTAAAATAGGTATGGTGGTGCACTTAGGAGGCAAAGGCAGGCAGAGCTCTGTGAGTTAGAGGCTAGCCAGGGTAAGATCCTGTTTCAAAAAAACAAAACAAAGCTGGAAGGTGGTGGCACTCACCTTTAATCACAGCACTCGGGAGGCAGAGGCAGGCAGATCTCTCTGAGTTCGAGGCCAGCCTGGGCTACAGAACGAGTTCCAGGACAGCCAGAGCTGTTACACAGAGAAACCCTGTCTTGAAACAAACAACTCAACCAAACAAAAAATAAAACCGGAGGCTGGAGAGATGGCCCTGTGGTTAAAAGGACAGCTCCACCAGAGGTGTGATCCCCAGCTCCCACACGGCAGCCCCCAATAGTCTGTAACTTTAGTTCCAGGGGATCTGATGCCCTCTTCAGACCTCCAAAGGCACCAGGCACACACACGGTGCACAGACATAGTTAGGTAAAACACTCATATGCACAAAATTTTAAAAGTTAATTAAAAAAAAGCAAAACCCATATGGCTGTGGCTGTGGCTCATGCCTAGCCTGGCCTTCGTGAGGCACTGGGTCTGATCTCAAGCAGCACAAAAAAACGAATAAACAAACTGGTGTGCTGGCACACTGCTTTAATCTCAACTGCAGGAGACCTCGGCAGGCAGATTCTGACTTCAAGGCCAGCCAAGTCTACACTGCAAGTTCCAAGGCAGCTAAGGCCACACTGAGAGACCTTGTCTTGAACAAAACCAAACCAGCCAAACAAAAAAACCCAAAACTTTCTCTCCAGCACATAACTTTCTTTTATTACAGATGACAGTATCAATCCCTAGCACCCTATAAAACAGGTGGTGTGCTGGTGCGTTCCTTTATTCTCTTAGTGGTACATGGCTTTAATCCCAAGACAGAGGCAGGTAGATCTGTGAATTTGAGTTCAGTGTGGTCTACATATGGAGTTCCAGGCCAGCATATGTGATATGTGTGTGTATTCAAAGCCAGACAAGGTAGCATACACCTACAATTTGGGAGGCAGGAGGATTAGGAGTGCAAGGTCATCCTTGGGTATGCAGCAAGTCCAAACCCAGCAGAGGCAGGAGAATCAGAAAGTCAAGGTCCCAGGGAACAAACTCAGGTTGTCAGGCTTCGAAGCAAGCATCCTTATCTGTTGAGACATCTTGCTGAGCTACATTTCCTTGGTCTTTCTCTCTCTCTTTCTTTAGACAGGGTCTTATTCTGTAGCCCAGGTTAGCTTTTAACTCACTAGATACCCCATAATATCCTCAAAATTGTGACAGTCATCTAGCCTCAGCTTTCCAAGTGCTGCAGTTAGAGGTGCGTGCTACCACACCTGGCTACCACACCTGTCGTCCGTTACAATATTCTTAAACTAACAGCATATTAAGCTCAGCGAGGCTCAGCTGCCAGCTACAGTGCTTGTCTAGCCCATGTAGGGCCTAAGGCAGAGTCTCAGCCCAGGCTGGGTTTGGACTTGCTGCATACCCAAGGATGACCTTGCACTCCTAATCCCCCTGCCTCCTAAATTATAGGTGTATGCTACCTTGTCTAGCTTTGAATACACACACACATCACATATGCTGGCCTGGAACTCCATATGTAGACCAGACTGAACTCAAATTCACAGATCTCCTGCCTCTGTCTTGGGATTAAAGCCATGTACCACTACACCCAGCCTATAAAATTAACTCCTTTTGGGGGGGGATCTGGGGGGGTTGAGACAGGGTTTCTCTGTGTAGCCCTAGCTATCCTGGATTTCACTTTGTAGACCAGGCTGGCCTTGAACTCATAGAGATCTGTCTGTCTCTGCCTCCAGAACGCTGGGATTAAAGGCGTGGGACACCACAGCACAGTTTTAAGATTACATCTTAGCAATAAGAGTAACGGTATGCAAGGGTTTTCCAAATGCTGGCATCATCAATATTTGGTCTTGATAGTTATTTGCTGTGAGGCTGTATTAGGCCTTATAACATGTAAAGCCTCCTCCTGGCCTCTGCTTAAAAAACCAAGCAGTAGTCTCCCATACTCAGCAATATGACAGCCAAAAAAGTCTGCAGACTTTGCTCAGTGGTCTCTGGAAAGGGCAGGATTACCTCCCTCAATGGAAGCCGCTGGTTTTCACTTTCTACTTTGTAACAATGTGCACTATTTTGAGCATTTTATGGATTTCAAGTACTACATTGTGGGGTTACTATGCCCATTTTATAGATGGAAAAACTGAACACAATTAGATTATTCCTAGTTCTCCAAGAGCTAACAACTACTATGCAGAGCTAAGATTCACACTCAAGAAAAACAAACTCCCCTGGAGCTGGAGATACAACTCAGTCAAGTGCTTGAGTAGCGTGCATGAAGCCCTGGGTCCCAGCCTCAGTACCTCATAATCCAGGCATGGTGGCACAAATCTATAACTCAAGAGGTGGAGTTGGGTCCCCTTAGAGTTCAAGTCAGTCTGGGCCACATGAGACCAAGTCTCAAAAATAATAATTTAATAAATAAATAAAAATTGGGTTGGAGAAGCTGGGCATAGTGGCCCATACCTTAAATCCCAACCATCGAAGGCAGAGGCAGGCAGATCTCTAAGTTCAAGGCCAGCCTGGTCTACAGAGCAAGTTTCAGGCCAGCCAGGGATACATAGAGAAACCCGGTTTCAAAATAACCAAAAACCGATAAAATAAAATAAAATTTCACTGGAGAGACGGCTCAGTGTTTAAGGGCATTTGCTGGCCCTGCAGAGGGCCTAAGGTCAGTCTCCAGCTCCCACACTGGGAGCTGTAACACCTGGAAGTACAGCTCCAAGAGATCCACTGCTGTCTCCTGGTTTCTGAGAGTACTTCACTCGGTCCTCAGACACTCAAAACAAAATAATAAATAATTAAATAAGAAAAACGAACTCTAGAACCTGTGCTTTTCACCCACACATATGCACATCAGAAGAGGTAAAGTTACCATGAAATGACCATGTGAGGAGACAGGTAAGAAGCACGAACAAATTTGAGGGTTTGCACCTACAGGTTAGTCCCCTAGGTTGGCGCTGGTAAAACGCCTGTCACTTGGTGCCTACTCAGAAGGCTGCGTGGACACTCTGGACGCGTGATTATTCCTCTGTGGCATCTTACCTAACAGTTGGATTTTCCTTTGTAACTCAAGCACCTGAGCGTGCACAGAAGACTTCCCCGAATAGTAGGAGGTTCCCGCCTTGTTTCGCTGTGCAGGCCAGGCCTGTACCCGGCCCAAAGCCTTGCCTCTGTGGCCCTGAACCTTGCTGCCCTTGCCTTTGGAAGAGGGCGCAGAAACTTGCTCCTGGCTAGTCACCACAGTCGCGGCTGCCCAGCACAGGGGAGATGTCATGGTGATCGGGTTGAGGTCAGGAAGCCTCTAACGCGTAGGGGAGTAACTACAAGTTGGCCTCTTCGGTTCGGGTTCCTCAACACTGGTTCCCTGAGCTCTGGCAATGCACTTTTGCTAACTGCTTGGCTGGGGGCCTCTTAGCATCTCCCGGTTGCTAAGCAACGCCCTCCCCCCGCCCGCGTTCCCAAGGAAACCACTGGCGTTGCACTCCACGGCTCTCACTGGCCAGCGCGGTTCCGAGGGGCGGTCCCGCAGGGAGGCTCAGCAGAAGAGCGGCGCGATCTTTCGGCGAAGGGGCTGCGCACGTCAGCGGTCACGGGCGCACGTCTCCCCTCCCACACCCCCTTCTCCCTGCGCGTTCGCCGGCCCTGGCCAGAAACCCGCCACTCCCAAGATGGAGGCACATTGCGCCGCCATTAAGCGCTAGACTTCCGATCCGTTCTCTCTAAGGCCGGCTTCATGTTCCTACTCAAGATGGCCGCCCCAGCGGCCGCACCCGCGCTCTTGCCACTCCCAACATGGCGTCCCCGAGTTGCCGTTCTCCAAGCGTGGCGAGCAAAACGGAAGTGACGCATCCTAGAGCGTTCCGTTTTCTTTCTGCTGCAGGAACCGCGGCTGCTGAGCCAAGCTGGTGCTGGGGCTATTGACCTTTGTCTCGGCCTCGTGGAGGTGCTGAAGTAGCGATGGGAGGAAGGCACCCTAGTTTCTTAGCGGTTGCATTAGGGAGGGTGGCGTGGAGGGATTGTAATTCCTTTGGGCCCGTTGGCGGGAGTTGCCCGCTTCACCCGAATACAGAGACCTAAGGTTTTGAGTTCCCTTTGAGGCTTTCACTGGCTCGGGTTGGGGAGACCCCCTGGCCCTGCACCTCCAACTCCGCAGCCAATTGAGCCCTCATTTTCCGGAAGTAGTGGTGAGTCCAGTTTGGGCAAAGCTCTCTCAATGACCGGTGCTTCATTCTTTCTGCAGAGAGAGGACACATAGCACATCTTCCTACAGCCTGCTTCCTGTCGCAGAACACACTTCCGGTCTCGACCCGGACGGAATGCTGCTGCTGCTGCTGCTGCTGCTGCTACCCCTCTGCTGGGCCGTAGAGGTTAAGAGACCCCGGGGCGTTTCCCTCAGCAGTGAGTCCTTTTTGTGCATAGCCTGGTGGTCGGGAGGGGCATTTCCCGCCTTTTGCCTCAATTTCCCCGTAGCATTCTGGTGAATGGGTAGGACAGAGGTATGTTGATGTATTTGAGAAGATCCGGGCTGAACCTCCTGTTTTCTTCCCCAGACCATCACTTCTATGACGAATCTAAGCCTTTCACGTGTTTGGATGGCACAGCCACCATCCCGTTCGATCAGGTGAACGATGATTACTGTGACTGCAAGGATGGCTCCGATGAGCCTGGTGAGCAGCTTCTGCGTCTCCTTACTGCCCGTTAGATGAGCTTGCCGGGAGCAGATGCCCCATGAAGACCAGGGCCCCATCTTCCCACTGCTCGCTGCTCAGTGAGCAGGACGAGCGCAGAAATGAGATCCCTGTTACAGGCTTGGGTTGGCTCAGTGGTAGAATTTGTAGGTTTCAGCCCCTGGTTTCCATTCCCAAGTAAAAGAATTATGACCAAGTCGGCAACCAGAGAGGAACCAGGAATGGCTTCCAGGAGGAGGTGAGGTTTCTGGCCAGGAAGAGCCAGCATGAGCACCTCTCAGAGGTGGGAGGGGGAGTGAGGCGAAATGGCATTCTAGGGCCTGGTGAAGGCAGAGGAGGCGGGGGCGGGTTGCCAGGCCTTTTTGAAGGCCTTAGGTGAAGCTGGAGAAGACTGGAAGGTTCCGTCGCAGGCCCCTGAAAATGCCCTTTCTCCCCTTGGTTGTTCCTTGGTTTATTTGTGTTTTTCAGACACTTCCTGTAGCCCAGGCTGGCCTTGAACACACAGTGTAGCTGAGAGTGATCCTGCCCTGCTGATCCTGCTTTTACCTCCCACGTGCTGGGATTACAGGCATTTACCACCACACCGAATTCACGCCTCTTTTTCTGGTGCTTTCCGTGACCAGATGAGACAGGTCTGGCTCGGCGCACATTCAACAGGCGTTCTTTTTCTGCAGGCACAGCTGCTTGTCCCAATGGCAGCTTCCACTGCACCAACACTGGGTACAAGCCCCTGTACATCCTCTCTAGCCGGGTTAACGATGGGGTATGTGGTAAGTGGCAGTACTCTGGGGATTTGGGGGAGGAGGCGGGGCGGCGGGGGTG